TACGCGGCCGCACCAGGGACCAAGTGCAGGCTCATGTCCACATGGTGACACGCACGTTCCACGAGCTGGGCATTCTACTCAACAGAGGGAAGTCCACTCTGGTACCAACTCAGAGAATAGAGTTTATTGGAGCAGTCCTGGACTCCACACGTGCCCGAGCCATCTTGCCAGACAGCCGCTTTCATACCATCTCAAGCGCCATTCAAGGACTCAGGGCTTTCCCAATCACCACCATAAGAACATGCCTTGCCCTCTTGGGCCACATGGCCTCGTGCACCTACGTAACCAGGCACGCCAGGCTACGTCTTCGCCCACTACAGGCTTGGGTGTCATCGGTCTACCGTCCTCATCGGGACAACCTGAACATGGTGGTCACGGTTCCGGCCTCGGTCTTGGCCTCCCTCACCTGGTGGACGGATCGTACGGCGGTCTGTGCAGGAGTGCCCTTTCACGCCCCACAACCCTCCCTCCACCTAGTCACGGACGCTTCATCTCTAGGATGGGGCGCTCACCTCGGGGAGCACCATACCCAGGGCCTGTGGTCCGCGTCCCAGCTGGCCCTGCATATCAACGTCCGAGAGCTCATGGCGGTGCGCCTAGCCTGCCAGGCGTTCCTCAACTTTCTACAGGGCCGTTGCGTGTTGGTTCTCACCGACAACACCACGGCCATGTTTTACATCAACAAGCAAGGCGGAGCCCACTCATCACTCCTATGCCAAGAGGCCGTCCGCCTATGGGACTTTTGCATTGACCACTCGATGCATCTCACGGCATCCTTCCTTCCTGGAGTCCAGAATACGCTGGCGGACCGTCTCAGCAGGTCCTTCCAGATGCACGAGTGGTCAATTCGCCCGGACGTTATCTATTCCGTCTTCCAGAGGTGGGGGTTTCCCCAGGTCGACCTCTTCGCATCTCGGGCCAACAGGAAGTGCCAGGCATTCTGCTCCCTACACGGGCGAGCCCCGGGCTCTCGGTCAGACGCCTTCCTTCTAACATGGAAGGATCACCTGTTCTACGCCTTCCCTCCATTTCCACTGGTCCACAGGGTGCTGCTCAAGATCCGCAGGGATCATGCACGAGTAATTCTAATCGCTCCCGCTTGGCCGAGGCAGCACTGGTACACCACGCTGCTGGAGCTTTCAGTACGAACGCCGATCACGCTCCCCTTGAGTCGGGACCTCATCTCCCAGGACCACGGCCGGTTGTGTCACCCCGACCTGCAGTCACTCCACCTCACGGCGTGGATGCTCCATGGTTGAGTCGGATAGAGCGGCAGTGCTCGCAGGCCGTCCAGCAGGTTCTGCTAGGAAGTAGGAAACCATCGACGCGGACCACTTATCTAGCCAAGTGGAAGCGGTTCTCCTGTTGGTGTGAGCAACGAGCTACGTCTCCCTCGCAGGCTCCTATCCCCTTGATACTGGAATACCTCCTGTCCCTAAGACAGCAAGGCTTGGCGACATCCTCAATCAAGGTTCACCTCGCCGCTATTTCCGCTTTCCACCCAGGAGAACTCACGTCCTCGGTCTTCTCTAACCCAATGGTCGTTAGATTCCTCAAGGGCTTAGACCGGCTGTACCCACAGCAACGACAGCCGGTTCCAACGTGGGACCTCAACCTCGTCCTCTCCAGGCTCACAGGGCCTCCGTTTGAACCATTGGCTACCTGCTCGCTCCTGTACTTATCTTGGAAGACAGCCTTCCTAGTAGCCATCACCTCAGCACGGCGCGTCTCGGAACTCAGGGCGCTGACATCCGAGCCCCCATACACGGTGTTCCATAAGGACAAGGTGCAGCTTCGCCCCCATCCTGCCTTTCTTCCAAAGGTGGTGTCGCCTTTCCACGTGAACCAGGATATATTTCTCCCGGTCTTCCATCCGAAACCGCACGCTACTCGTCAAGACCAGTGTTTACATTCTTTGGACGTTCGCAGGGCCCTGGCTTTCTATATTGACCGTACAAAGCCATTTAGGAAGACGACGCAACTCTTCGTTGCGGTGGCCGACCGGATGAAGGGCTCACCGGTCTCTTCACAGTGCCTGTCCTCCTGGATCACGTCCTGCATTCGTGCTTGCTACGACCTGGCCGGTGTACCAACGCCACGCCTCACTGCTCACTCCACGAGGGCCCAGGCCTCCTCGACTGCCTTCCTGGCTCAAGTTCCGATTCAGGACATTTGTAGAGCTGCAGTGTGGTCTTCGGTCCACACTTTCGCTACTCACTATGCGCTGGTGCAACAATCCAGAGACGATGCTGCTTTCGGGTCAGCGGTTTTGCACACAGCAATGTCGCACTCCGACCCCGCCTCCTAGGTGGGGCTTGGGAGTCACCTAACTGGAATGGATATGAGCAAGCACTCGAAGAAAAGACGGTTACTCACCGTTGTAACTGTTGTTCTTCGAGATGTGTTGCTCATATCCATTCCAAACCCGCCCCCCTTCCCCACTGTCGGAGTAGCCGGCAAGAAGGAACTGAGGGGGCGCTGGGTCGGCTGGGGTATATATCCAGCGCCATGAAGGCGCCACTCCAGGGGGCTCCACAGCCGACCCACCTGGGGTTGCTAGGGTAAAAATCTTCCGACGATCGTGCACGCGGCGCGCGCACACCTAACTGGAATGGATATGAGCAACACATCTCGAAGAACAACAGTTACAACGGTGAGTAACCGTCTTTTCTGCTTTTAAGATACTGGAAGACTTCCAGAGCTGCTCAGTGCAACCCTCAACATAATTTCCTTGCTTCTGATTTGGAGTACACCGAGAATATATGACAAGGCTTGTGGAAAGGGGACAGGAAGAAGTACTGTCTGATTGGGGGAGCATCTCCTATGGTTGTAGTTTCCTTGAGCCAGTAGGCTGACTTACTGCTGGATAGAACCCTTCCTAAATAACAATCGTAATAAATAGACTTCATTTCTCTCTCTGAAACAATGATCTAATCATTTCAAGACGGTACAGTACAGAGAACTAGAAAGCCAACTGATCATAAAACCTCAATAGTACTGGTATTTGGTTAATTTTTTAAAGAAACATGAAAGGGTGATAGAGTACGACTGGTTTGCCATGTGGCTGGTTTTTTATATTGTTGCTTGCTGATGCAAACTCCCTTAAGTGAATAATACCAATTTGTTTTAAATAAAGTTTGTCTCAGTCACTTAGCATATGGGTTTTGTGGCCTTTAATTTCAACCTATTCCAGAAAAGGTTCATAAAATTAAATGAATATTATTAATAATAAATATTTAAGTACAAGCCATATTCCAAACACAGAATTATTGTTCCAAGTTTATTGGTTTTATTCAGAGCACACCTGGGGCAATGTGCTGGCTGACATGGAATATAAACACATGCTGCTTATTAGATTGATACTGTTGCTCTGCACTGCTGAACTGCTCGAGCTTTTGTCTGAGCTATTAGAGTAAGACAAATTGAAGAACACAGGTAAATCCTTCAACTAACTCTCTCTCTCTCTCTCTCTCTCTCTAATAGTTTAAGTAAAGGAGAATTTCTGCACTATAACCTTGGAATATCCATTTCTGATTAGTATTCTTTCAAATGGTTTATCTCTAGCTTCATTAAGATAAGAAATAACCAAGCAGTAAATTCCATTGTTGAAAAATTGGGATAGTATTTCAGTTTTGTTTCTTATTCTTAATAGAATGTATTATTTGTGTAAATGCAAAACTTAGCTTAACCGTGGAGTGGTGACTGACATGTTTGTACTTAGATTTTGAACCCTGCTGTGCTAGTCCAGAGGTTCTCAAACTGGGGGTCGGGATCACTCAGGGGGTTGCAAGCTATCAGTCTCCACCCCAAACCCCGCTTTGCCTCCAGCATTTATAATGGTGTTAAATATATTAAAAAATGTTTTTAATTTATAAGGGGGAGTCACACTAAGAGGCTTGCTATGTAAAAGGGGTCACCAGTACAAAACTTTGAGAACCACTGTGCTAGACACTGTACCAAAACAGAGGGAGAGTCAGTCCTTGCCCCGAAGAGTTTATAGTGTGAATAGACAAAACAGACAAAGGGTGGAAGAGGAGACAGGACTAGAGCGATGACTTGTCCAAGGTCACATAAAGGTCATTGACAGTGCCAAAAATAGAAACCCTATTTCCTGATTCCCTGTCCAGTGAGCTATCCACTCTAGACCATGTTGCTGTCTCTTTTTGTGTTGCATCAAGCAAACACTGGTCTACATGTTCTTAGAAAGACAAGAAAAGCTATTCATTAGTAGATTCATGAACTGCTGCAAAGAGGTGGAGTGTATTATTACGTAACTTACTGCTACTCATAACATTAATTAGACATGCATTTCTCTCACTCCTCTCTATTACAGTCCAGGTTCAAAGCATCCTTCTCTCATTGTTTGGGTAGTGGTATTTGTTTAGCATGCCTCTTAAAATTCAGTTTGTCTTTTGGATTTTTTCATCTACACCAGTGAAAAATATATTCACAATTTCAACCGATATTTTCTTTATTTCAGGTGAGAGTTCTCGTTCTGTCCCAAATTCTAGCCTTAAAAAAATCCCATTGTTTTATTTAGAACTGCAAGTTCTGGCTGGATACAGTATAGCTGGATACAGTATAGCTTTTAATACAGTGCAGCTTTTAATACAGTTCTTAAGGTAATGAGGGCAGGGGACTGGACTCGATGACCTCTCGAGGTCCCTTCCAGCGCTTGAATCTATGAAAGTTAGGGAATACTGAGTCAACTTGCCATTGAGGCAATGTTTTAAAATCCTGCATTTATAGCTATTCATCTCACACATTTTTCTTATTAGTTTCTATCATAAACCTTGGCAGAGGATTGTATTGAAGTGATCAGCTCTGAACCAAAAGAGCATTCCTTGAAAATCAAAGCTAGTTATCAGGTGACCTAAAAAAGTAAATCAGTAGCTTGTTGATCCATGACATGGAAATAGTTACCTCCTGTGCATTCTCAGATTGGTTGCTTCAGAATTTGGTAGAAAATGTATACAGTGTTTTTATTCTTTGAGGCGAAAATGTATGTGGAACTTTCATTTGATAATTTTAAAGGGACAGTACGTACAGAATACTGCAGCGGTATCATTTTTGTGTGGCAGGACTGTTTGGAGCAATCTAAGATGGCCTTGTGTGTAAAAGGAGGGAGGCGACCATCCTCTCTCTCTCTCTCACACACAATGTTTTTCTAAAAGTTCTATTCTAGGAATTCTTTTGGGGAAATTCTATGGCTTGTATTATACAGGAGGTCAGACTAGATGATCACAATGTTCCCTTGTGGCTGCGGAGTCTATGAATCTATGGAACACATAGTTTTCACCAGATCAGATATAAAATTGATTCCCATGTATATACTAGCACAACTTGCTATTTTGATGGTTTTCTGTAATTGCAGAACTTTGTTTTAGTGATCTGTGGAAAATTAACATGGATCAAATTGAATTTTAACATCTTCCATGTGTTCACACTTGGAAAAAAAAAATCAGCCAGTTATTATGACATTAATAAATATGCCTCATAGTGGACTTACTGGATTTAATACTGCATGTGATAATGGGCATTCATGTTTCTTGCTTCAGTGATTTGATTAGAACCAAAATATATGCAAAACATAACTGCAGACTACAGAGGATTGTTTTGTTGCAATGTGTGATTTTGAGCCAGTACCCACAGTCAGAGAACTATTTGTTTCTATTTTATTGAGACTCATCCCGCTCCCTCTTGCTTTGAACAGCCATGGTTTAACTCCAGGCTCCGCTTGTCAGGATAATCCTGCGTTACTAGAGTCAAGAGGCCAGCTCTACTGTTCCCACTGGCCCAATAACTCAGGAACAGCTGCACTGGTTAGAAACAGCTTTGTTTTCTGATCATATCGGCTGGGGAGTCTTTACTGAACCAGAACTACTCTCATCAGTATGTATCACCAAATTAATGTTTCAGTAAATATATCAGTATTTCATGAAAGTAGGTGGGAGAGATGCACTAGATGTAGGTGCAGTCCTGTAATGTCAAGCATTTTGCAACCTAAGAGGGAAAATAGAAGCATAACAAAGTTTAACTTTTAAAATCTAGATAGCGATAGATTAGTGTAGACTATTGCTAATGAATTGTGTAAGAGTAAAAGTCTATCCAGAAACGGAATTCCTTTTTATTCAAAGGGTAATTTAGGAAGCATCAGTGCAAACATCCGTGTGTGGACCTTCTAAATTATCTCAACCAATACTTTTGGGACTGGCCTCTACTGCATTAGGAAAGTAGTACATTTCACTCTAGCTGAGCATTGATTTTTCTCACAGCAGAGGTTTATAATGGCATATGATGGTTTTGTTGTATGAAACTGTCATACGGTTCCTTTCTACTTAAGACCTTAAGTTGGATGTAAACATGGTCCCCTGAGGTTCAGTGAGAAGCATTAGATCTATTAAATCATTCAGCCACCCTTCCCCAGGTTTTTATCATTATTTGTGCAATGACAGCCAAGTCCCAAAAGCAAGCCTGTGATGTGCATGTAAGTAGGCTATATGCAGCTTGTATCTTCTGAAACACAATGATAACATCTTCTCTTTATTATGACAGGCTTTTGGAAATGCAAAGACAGCACATAATAACAACTCAAGTCGCTTTGGCAAGTTTATTCAAGTGAATTACCAGGAAACAGGCACTGTGCGAGGGTAAGTGGCAATCAGCAGCAGTTTAGGGTTTTGAACATGGCTGTATTGTATGTAGTGATATTCTTACCTGCACAACAGGAATGTAAACAGACTTTAAAATATCCATATAATATGTGGCCTAGAAGGTTCATTGTCTGCTTTATATTGGCCAGCTTTCTTATTTTACAACTACTTATGTGGGGATATATGCAGAGTTTACCTGTTATGAACAGATGTTTATTGGTAAAGAAGCTTAAGTGTACATTTTCAGCAGTGTCTCCGTTTAGCCTCATGACTCACAGGGATTTAGTCTATGAGAACTGCATGAGTAAACCCCTGTGATGAAAATGTAACCATATTCCTTCTCTTCATTCTTATAAGAAAATGTATTGGTTTGTTTTATCATTTATTTTCTGTAGATACTATATCACTGTATTGTTTTGTTTTTGTTTCCCAGCAAAATAATGTCACACTTTATTGCCTGATTTTCAGAGGGGCTGAGAACCCACAGCTCCCACTTACTTCAGAGACAGTTGTGGGCAGTCAACACATCTGAAAGTCAAGCCACTGCTTTCCAACCTTTTTAGGCAATTTTTCACGTCACTCCCAACTTGCTCACCTTCTTTATTATTTATTTTTGTTTTAAACAAGCAGTTCAGCAATAATTCTTTTAATGTTGAGATTCTTCTATTTTAAAATATCCACTTAAATTAAACCCAAGCATCTTTCTCTATTAAAATTAGAGGGTTGCAGTGTCGGGAAAAGGATAAATTTCCCATTTTATTTTGAATAAAGCTAAAAGAAACATGGCCACTTCCTTAACTACACCATCAATTTATGTAGCACCTTTTCATGATACCTCTCTGCTATGCACTACTGGCATCTGTTGATTAATAGTACAGCTTTGAGAATAGCGATTTCTTCTTGAATGATAGTCCTTATGTGTATTCCACATGTGAGATACACATGCGCACCATGCAACTCAGTCCAGAATATTTTGCAAGCAGTATCCGTTGGCTCACACATGTGCTGTAGGTCTCCTCATGCTCCAAACTGAGAGCATAAAAGGTGGTGTGGGCTGACTCCTCTTCAGTTCCTTCTTACCATTGCATGGTCTGAGTTGGAATCTTTGGTGTCCTCAGCTTTTTTACTGCGTGATTGCTGTAAGATATTATATATAGTTAATTTTAATAGTTTTTGTAGTACAGTCTACACAGGCAGATAGTGTAGCTAGTGTTTTTCCCCTCATTTCTTTCCCACGCAGAGACTCTCCCCACCCCACCAAGAAGCTTGGAACTATGCCCAGGGTCTGGGGTTCAAAAGTAGTGTTTCCTGCCCTTGCTTCTTTTCAGTGAGTGACAAACATCAATGTTGCCTTTACTGCTCATGAGATGAAGCTCATATTTCTACCAAGTACAGCATCTGCCACTCTTTTCCCCCCAGAACTCATGAGTGTCAGGAACTGAGACTCAGAAAACATCTCATGGAGAAGGTGATGAAGCCCCAGTCAGATGTGGGCCAGGGACCACCCCCTGTACATAGGTCTCACCAAGCAGGCAGCGCCTGTCTGAACTCGAGCTCGGGAACAGAAGCCAAGATGTTAAGCCTAAGGAGAAGTCTTCACATGAGAACAAAGGGCACTTCCATAGACATAAGGACAAGCAATCTTCATCTAAAACGGCCCCAGTTAAAGTTGGGAGAGCTAGTGCACATGGGTGCTAAGGACTTAGGCCCAAGTAAATTTTCTGAACAGGGGAAGGAGGCATGCAAGGATATGTTTCTGACTGTTCTGACAATGGCTCTGATGGTGAAGGTTTGGGATAAACAGCTCTTGGTGCTCCCAACCACTTCCAGAGCTGATGCAGTACTGATAGTGACACCCATTGGGAAAGCTGATCGCCACAATGACTAGGGAAGCTCTGGTTCCAACAGCTCTGCCAATGGACTCTCCTGGTATCCCAGGGTCATAAGAGAGTTACCTCTACCCAGAGGACATCTTTGCTCTTATTCTCCACTCCTATCAGGACCATCTCTATTCCAGTACATGGATATACCAGAGAAAGAGACTATCCTGATAAGGCAGTGTCCTTTTCCTGTCCCACCTGCCAGCCTTGAGGTGCAACCATCAGTACTGTCGGTTCGGCCAGAGATAAGGTATGTGGCTTTCTCTTCGGATGAGTCTGAGGCCTCTCAGGATTCTCTGTGGCATTGGATGGAGGTGGCATGAGTCAGATACCCCAAAAGATGAGAGTTCTGACCTCCCACCATATATGGTTGCCCAAGAGACAAGTAGTGCCCTGTGCCATGTGGTCCTCCTCTGCCATTTGATCCTTTCTACTGACAATATTGGGGGCCATGGGAACCCTACACAAGACACCTGGAATCAGTTCAGGAGTTCTATTTGCTATTGCCCAGACACCCACAGTCAGCCCCATCAGAATATTCAGAAGTGGAAGGTGAACTGGTTCTGACAGTTCTAGGAGCCAAGCTCATTGTCTTCACTGGGTGAGGCGGTTATTCCATCTTCTCAGTCTCCATCAGATGACTTTAAACACTATCAAGAGCTTGTGCACTGGTGGGTTCAGAGGTACAGATTCAGCTTGAGGAAGTCCAGGAGCCTCAGCACAGTTTACTAGACATTTTGCAACCTTCCGGTCCCAGTGGAGTGGCCCTCCCCATTAATGAGGCCAACGTGAACCCAGCAAAAACAGTTTGGCACACTCCTGCTTCTTGTGCTCCCACCCCTAAGAGGGCTGAGAAGTGTTGCTTGGTCCCACCGGGGGAGGAGGGGAGGGTTCTCTCATCCACTGCCAAACTCTTGGTGGTGAAGGTGGCCACAGCATGGTCCAAGCAACAGTACCTAAAGGCTACTCCCTCTGATAAAGGTTGAGTTGCTTGTGTCCTTTTAGGGAGAAAGGTCTTCTCTTCCACCTCCCTTCAGTTCAGGATTTCAAATTATCCGGCCTTCTTGGCCAAATAAGATTTTCCTAATACGATTTTGGAATGTAAGGACAAGCTCCCTGAGGGGGATAGGGCCTGCTTCCGGGCCTTAGACTAGGATGAGGGCAGATTAGTGACCAAAACTTCCCTCCAAGCTGCGGTGCACGTGGCAGATACTGTGTCTAGGGGGGTGGTTATTTCCATTATTATGGGGAGAGACTTGTGATTGTAACCCTCAGGTTTCCTAGAGAGGCACAGAGTACCATCCAAGATCCGTTTTGAAACTATCAACCTATTCTATAAGAAGATGGATGAGTCTCTTCAATCCCTCAAAGACTTGAGAACAACGCTTCACTCGCTGAGCATTTATACCCTTGCCCCAAGAGAAAATACTAGAGGCATGGGTGTAGGGCAAGACCACCTCCTCAGCCATTTAACCACCAATGTCCTCAAGAGCCACCATGCTAAAGACAGTTTATAGACCCAGTAACCCAGCCTCTGTAACATCCACCGCCACATCATACTCTAACCCCAAAGTAAAGAGTTTCTTTTGACAGGACTGTCGAGACCTGCATTCCTTTATTGATGCTAATTCATTCCCCTCCTTTGATATTCAGAGGTTGCCTTACCCGGTTTGCCAAAAATTGGAGGGAGCTAACTATAGACAAATGGGTATTAAAGATTATTCATGGCTATCTGGTTGGGTTTCTGGTACCTCATACCCACAAACTCCTTTCCTGGTTCTGTTTCAGGGACCATTCTCATGAGGAGATTCTAAGACAAGAGGTGAACTCCCTTCTCCTCAGGGGAGCTACAGAAAGCGTTCCACTGCAGCAACAAGGGAAGGGATTCCCTTTACTACTTGATCCCCAAGAAGAATAGGGGATGCAGGCCAATTCTAAATCTGAGACAGCTGAACAGGTTCATTCAAAAACTAAAATTCCGTATATCCTTAACATCAATAATTCCTTTGTTAGAGAAGGACACGTGGGTCATGGCTCTCAACATGAGATGCCTATTTTCAAATAGACATCCACTCAGTCCACGGGAGGTTCCTCAGGTTTCTCTTCAATGAAGAGTATTACCAATTCAGAGTCCTTCCCTTTGGTCTAGCTATAGCACCCAGGGTCTTTACAAAGATTTCTTCAGCAGTGGCAGCTTCAATGTGAAGAGGATTTCAGTCTTCCCTTACCTTGACTACTGTCTTTTGACAGGCAGTTCCTCTGAGGAAGTCCAGCAGGCAACAGTGTTCTGCTCAGCTTTCTGCCTTCCCTAGGTGTCTGAGTCAATCACAAAAAAAATCCATCTGAGCCCCATGAGATTTATACATTTTATAGGGGTGTGACATATCAGGTTACAATCCAGACTGAGTAGCTGTGTCACCCTTGCCTTGTAACTTGTGGTGCCCTTTACAATGTCTTGCTGCTCACAAACAGCCTCCAACCAGATGTAAGTCACTCCCAGCTATATCTGTGTGTCCTGCAGCCAGCCAGCCACATGTTGGCTCTTACCAGCCTTACAAATTACCACAGAGTAACCCCAACAGGCTTCTCCCAGAAACGTATGTCCTGTACTGCCCAGCCCTCTCCTAGATCGTACAAATATATTGAGTCTATTATTCCTTTAAGGGAACAATATGCACACAACTTGTTACCCCAAATGGATTTATCAGACAGTTCAATTTGAACACACTGGATTAGATAAAACGAGTTTATTAATTACAAGGAGAGATTTTAAGTGAGTACAAGTAATGAGGCATAAAAGTCAGAAATGGTTACAAGAAAAATAAACATAAGACACTTACGAATGCCTAATTTCATAAACTATCATAGTTTCAAACAAAGTTTCTTGCCTCATGCACCAGCAGATTACTGACCAAACTCCCAGATCAGGACCCCCCACCCCCCGAGTCCAACGCCTGCTTTCTTTGTCTTTTCAGGTGCAGGGAATGTGATAGGCAGGGAGAGAGAGAGGGGTGCTTTGGGGTGTTTATCCTTCCTTTTTATAATTTCAGTCCTCCTTTGGAAAAACATTTCCAGCTGAGAACCAGGAGCCAAAGAATCTATGTGGAAGGATATTGCTTGTTGTTTTTTTCACCAGTTGAAACTTCCTTTGTCTTCCCTTCCTATTTGATGACTCTGTTTACTGCTTAAATGCAAATTAAGCAGAGCACACATTCCTTTGTTTAGGACACACCTGCTTGCCAACTTTTGTTTGGGCAGGGCTGGGAGGTTTGGAACATGTGTTATAAGATTCCCCCATATGGTGTTATATTAATTTCACATACAATGTTGCCACACGCATTTTACCGGGATAATACTGACCAGCAAATTAAGAATTTTCAAATGATACCTTACAAGGCATACTTTGTAGAAAGGTTATTACAATAGTGTGTAGGATATGATTGCCGGGGTGTATTCTGTCACAAGGGATGATGTCATACATCAGACCCAGGACGTCAAACAAAACTTTCCTTTCCCTCCTCAACCACATGGCACACATGATGCTGTTTGTCAGGCTTCATCTTTGCTGCCTACAGCCTCTTTTCTGTGTACTCACCAGATAAAGGCAACATAAATTGCAAAGCCATTCCACCAACATTTTAGATCCTTTCCCCTGGTGGACAAAACCGGACAATGGTTCAGGTAGGGATTCCTTTCCTGACACTAACTCGTGTGGTTCAGGTAGGGATCCCTTTCCTGACACTGACTCGTGATGCAACCATTGTTACCAGTGCCTCCCTCTTGGTTTGGGGCACTCACATGGTTGATCATATGGCACAAGGTGTCTGGAGTCCAGAATACGTATCAATTTACCAGAACTCGGGGCGGTCCGTCGAGTCTGTGATGCCTTCCTCCCACTCATCCAATCCAGTCGTGTCCAAATAATGTCGGACAACATGACAATGGTGTTTTATATAAACAAACAGAGGGGAGCAAGATCTCTCCCTTTTTGCATAGAGGCAGTTGCCCTCTGAAGTTGGTGCATCAGCCATCACATAACCCTATCAGCAGCAGGGGTGCAGAACTACCTAGCGGACAGCCTGAGCAGACATTTTGCCATGATTTATGAATAGGAGGTTCATAAATTTTGTTTTCAACAATATCTTCGCCCAATGGGGAATGTCTTGTGGGAGAAAAGGAAACTTCCTCTGCTGCTACAGAGCAGCCTTGGTCAAGGTCTCGGTGGTAGATGCCTCTCCTAATGTCATGGAAGAATCACCTGGGGTAAGTCTTCCCTCCCATCCCATTAATACTACAAGTTCTATGGAAGAATCACCAAGACAGAGCTCAGGTCATCCTGATTGTACTCAACTGTTCTGGTTTATGGATCTGCTGAAGCTCTCAGTTCACCCACCCATCAACATCCCCACATTACCTGGAAGGTTCAAGCACCTTACTGCGGGCCGCTGCAACTCAGGGCCTGGTATTTGAATGGGCATCAGAAATAGAGCACTTACGTTCTTAAAGGATGCAATCCATCCTTAACCAAAGCAGAAAAGACTCTACGAGAAGCTGCTACTCAGCAAAATGGAAGCATTTCTCCTGTTGGGCTCATCTATTCAACTTGTGTCCAAAATCTGCCAGGATCCCTGCTATTTTAGAATATCTACTTACCCTTAAATCATTGGGTCTTTTGCTCAATTCTCTGAGAGTGCATTTAGCAGCGATCAGCGGTTTCCATCCTCTGGTGGATAACCGTACAATATTCACTCATCCTGTCACAACTAGATTTCTGAAGGGGATTCTCATATACTTTCCATCATTGGTGAAGATTGCGCCTCATTGGGACCTCAAATTTGTTTTATCATTCCTCCTTAACCCCTCCCCATTTAAGCCTGTAACCTTATGCCTTCTGGCCCATTTGTCCATGAAGATGGCCTTTCTAATAGCCACAATGTCAGCTAGAAGAGTCAGTAAGCTCTGAGCACTCATGGCAGACTCACCATATACTACCCTCTATAAAGAAAAGGTCTCGTTATGATCCCACCCTAGATTCGTTCCTAAAGTAGTTTGAGTTTCAAATGAGTCAGGTAATCCACCTACCAGTATTTTTTCCGCAGATGAAGAGAAATGGCTGTATTCTCCAGACTTCCGAAGGGCTAAGTCTTTTATCTGGAAAGAACAAAGGATGTTAGTAAGACACCTAAACTATTCCCATAGCAGAGCAATCAAGGGATCAGGCTATATTGGCACAGAGACTTTCAAAACGAATCTTGGGTTGTATTGCCCTTTGTTACCAATTAGCTCATATTCCCTCTCTGGAGTGTGTGTGAGAGCTCATTCCACTAGAGGGCCAACTTCTTCCGCTGCCTCGCTAAGACATGTACTCCTCCTAAAGATACTTAGGGCAGCTACTTGGAGGTCTTTGCATATCTTCATGAGACATTTCACTCTGGTGCAGTCAACAGCAACGGATACAGCTGTGGGGACAGCAGTATTACATTCAGCTATCACTTCTCTGTCCTTGTACCCACCCCATGTCTGACTACTGCTTGTTAATCTCCCATGTGCAGAATACACATTGGGATTATCACTCAAATTAGAAATCGAGATTACTTACCTGTAACTGAAGGTTCTTCGAGGTGTATGGTCCCTATCTGTATTCCACTACCCACCCTCCGCCCGCTCTGCTGGGGATTGTTAGAACTGAGGTAAGAATGGGAAACTGGAAAGATGTCAGTCCGCACCACTGCTTATGCCCTCGGTTCAGAGCATGAGGAGAGCTATGATGTGTGTGCAAGCCAATGGACACTGCCTATGAAAAATTCCGGGCTCAGGTGCATGGTATGGTGCGCATGTGTATCCTGTGTGTGGACTACAGATAGGGACGATACATCTTGAAGAACCTCCAGTTATAGGTGAGTAACCTCCATTTTTAGTATAATCCAGCTACTGAAAAAGTAGGAGGAAACCTCTCGCTTCCCTTAGAAATTGCACTTCCCTGTCTCTGGTATATTATGTTTCTACACGTAGTTGTAAGCTCCTTGGGTGCCGCCACAAGCACAATAATAGCATTTGAAAAAATAATTAGCTGCCTCTGTTCTAGTATAAAATATTGTTTTTCCATGAACCTCACAAAAATGTTTTTATATAATTCCCTAACTGTGAGTATATTTAAAAAAAATATAATAGATGTCTAGAGCCAAGCTTTCAGAACCTGTGCAAAATTTGTCTGTCTTATACCTGCTGTTTATCAATAATGTTTATTATGGTGGTGCCTAAGAACCACTTAACAATGGGCACCTATTGTGTTAGCCACTGTACAACCACAGTAATATAGCCCTGCCTCAGAGATTACAATTTCTGATGTTTCTAATTGCATTTACACATGTACATTTGATGCACAAACAACTTGCACACAGTTCTGAAAATCACTGTCCAATATTTGGTTAAAGAACTGCATATGTTTAATTGCCAAAACATGAAGAGCTTGTAAACTTCAGAGGTTTAGTAGCAAGATATTTAGCATCAACAGAAGACTCCTATTCAGCAAAGTACTTGAATATATACTTAGATGTGAATGACTGGAGAGTGACCATAATATAGGAGGGCTTTAAAATGTAGACCTGAACTTGTAATGAAATCTCCATGGGCAGATCACTGCATCCACATGGATTTCATTGCGGGATCAGGACCTGAATGGGCTCTGATCTCAGTTTGGGATGTAGAGGGTTAGTCAGTCAATTTTATTTTGCTGAATTAAGGTTGAATAGGTATCTTAGATTCTTTAGTTTCTGTCAAGGTTTCCCGCTACACTCCCTGCCCATAGGCTAACTCATCAGAGATTTCGTATAGATGTTAGTCCTGGCTTTGTATCAAACTAAAACTCTCAAAAGTCAAAACATAATGTTGGGCTTGTTCTGCCTAGGAAGAAATTTATATAACTAAATAAAACAAGAATGAAATAAAAATGTCTCTTTTCTGTATAGTAAAAAAAAAATGCAACAAAGCTCTCCATTTAATCTGAACATTGGATGAATGACTAATTTTTTTCTTCCAGAGCTTATGTTGAAAAGTATTTACTGGAGAAATCCAGGCTAGTCTATCAGGAACACAATGAACGGTAGGAGCCTGTTTTTTACTTGTGTATCTTTATATTTTTAATGATCTATTTATTCGGTGCATGACAGATCGTTTTAATATCCTATTTTAACCGGACTGTAGGATATCAGTTTCACCATTCTAAGTATGTATTGCTAATCAATTTGCAGGCAAGCTACTTAGAGCTTATCTACACAGTGACATTCAGGAAAGTTTAATTAGTAAAAAGTGAATTAGTTAAACTGCATTAAACCCCTGCGTGAACACTCATTCGGAATTACAATGGTCTTAATTCAGTTTAGCTTCAGTTAAGCTAAGGGCTTGTCTACACTTGAAATTCTACAGTGGCACAGGTGCAATACTGCAGCTGTAATGCTGTAGTATGTAGACACTAATTACAGCAATTGGTGGAGTTTTCCTATTTGTGTAGGACTGGTAATCCACCTCCCCAAGTGGCAGCAGCTAGGTCAACAGGAGAATTCTTTCGTTGACCTAGCCCTATCTACACCGAGGGTTAGGTCAGCTTAACTGTCTTGCTCAGGGGTGTGGATTTTTCACACCCCTGAGTGACGTAGCTGGGTGGACCTAACTTTTGAGTGTAGACATGGCCTAAGCCTGTTTTGTAGTATTTGTTTAATAGCAAATTTCATTTGGGGAGTGAAATCTAGAAGGGAGGAAAATCCAGATATCTATTTCATCCTTACAGTCCCTGTCTTATATTTTCCACTGTCTTTGTGACTAATGGATAAATCAGATGTTATAGCATGGTTGTTATGTGACTTCTGCATTATTTGTAAACTATTTAAAATTTAATTTTGGGTCAGGGGCTGTCTTTTTGCTCTTTGAGCAGCACCTTGGATAATGGGCTAGGGCTCCATGACTACATGGACTAGGGCTCCAAGGCACAATGGTGATACTAATAGTGAAAATGATTTATTTTGCCTACTTATGGTCTTTTATTTCCCTATTGCAGACTTCTCTTTTAATTTCAGTGATTAATTATTCCCTCTATTTTAAACAGATTTTCCACTGTCTCATAGTTTGTTCCAAAAAACAAATAAAAAAACTACAAACCCCACATGGCCCTTATTAGGGGGTAGAGAAAGTCAAACTTTATCTTCTATTGATTATGTCAACTACTGTCACTTTCTTCTGTGTTGCTCTTTGAGGGTATGTCTACAGTGCAATAAAACATCCACAGCTGGCCCGTGTCAGCTGAGTTGGACTCCAGGGCTATAAAATTGGTGTGTAGCGGTTCGGGCTCAGACTGGAGCCCTGACTGTGGGACCCTCCCGCCTTGCGGAATCCCAGAGCCGAGCTCCACCTAGCGCCCAAATGTTTATACTGCAGTTTTATAGCCCCACAGCCCAACCCTCTTGAGTCTGAGTCAGCTGACCGGGGCCAGCTAAGAGTGTTTTATTGCAGTGTAGACATAACTTGAGACTATTGTTCTTGTACAGTTTTACATTAATTGCTACGTGTCTTTGCTGTAATAGATAAGACCCTCTTGGTGCTAAAATTATCCTATTAAGATAGATGAAGGGGGAAAATAAATCGTTTTGCAATCTGAGTCTCATCCATGTGGAATTGGTACATCCATTATTATAATGCTAATGTACTGCTCTCAAGGTTAAATTGCATGCACACTGAAACTTGAAAAATGTAATCAAGGTTGTTATGAGTTAATCTTTTTTCCCCTCAGAAAAACTTTTGATAAGACTCCTGAAGTTCAGAATTCTTAATTTTAGAAATACTATTGTGCTGTCAATACTATTCTATTGTGAAGTCATGCTTAAGAAAAAGTAATTGTCATCTTAGCCATTTTAGCTCTTTTAACATTAATAGTGTATTTCAAGCATTTAGGATGTGTTTGATATCAAAGTGAAATAAGAGGATTTCAAATCCCCTTCTGCAGAACCAAAGTGGCAGAGTTCTTGCCCTGTTTACCACTTTGTAAGGAAGAATGTTGACATTTTGGGGTCTAACCTAATGTATTACTATGACACATGTTCCTAAGCTCTTTCATAAATTTATTCTTGGACAATGGGTGTACTAAGTGGGAACAAAGGTTCTAATTCTCTGTTACTCTGCGCTTTGTGCCATCATTAACATCAGTGTGAAGTGGTGGTCTGATTTAGTAGCTTTTTTTCACTCACTTTATGTTCACTTTGAACTGGTGTAAATGACTATACATGGTGCAAGGCAACAATCAGGCAGAAGGTTTTCCCCTTTCTCCTTCATAGCCTCCTTTCATAAGGGTCCTATACCTAGTGAAGTCAGATATCCTGCCCATCCTTTACGTATATCCAAGCATGAAAACATGCCTCATGCAACACATTCTGAAGTTGGTAAAATTCAGCTGCATCCTAATTTCCGGCAGAAGCTGGCTCCACAATCATGGACCCTCCACCAAGAAGGTTCTGCCCTGGTGTGGAGAGATGCTTCCTAAGTGCTCTCTGGCAGTCTCTCCATTAAATGTTGCTGCTGTTGCAAGGTTGAGAGTTTAGAGATATCTGTTGGATAAGGACCCCCTAAAACCAGTAAAGGGGTGATATCTGGCCACCCAAACTTGAAATAGTTTCTTGGCCATTACTGCTAACTTGAAGGCCAAGTCCAGGTATAATCCAGAGGACTCCAAGTTTGTTCACTCCCTTGACTAATGGGATGTTGATGCTCTCATTTGATTGGGGTAATTACACATTCTACCAGTTCTGCAAAATGTTTGTCTGTCAACCAGATTGGTCTCTGTTTTGCTTGGGTTGAGCGTGCTTTTCTCTCATATCTCTTTCATGCAAGAAATGGGATATCTGGGATACTATACTAATTATACTAAATGAAAAAGAGGCATAGTGGAGGGGCTCATCAGCATATTAGTGGCATCTTAGCTTATAGTGCTCTTTGACCTCTAGCAATCTCTCATATATATGCTGAACAAAAGCAATGACTGGAATGACATCCTCGGTCTGGTGAAACTCTGCAGCAGAGGATCCTGAAGTTAATGCACAGTTCATACACCAACCCAAGTTCATACTGGCAAGAAAGTCATACCTTCTTGCTGGAATCAAGGCAGAACTTTTAGGTTCCCAAGACTTTCCTGTACATAACAGATGAGCGCCGAAACCACTTAGCTCACTCTCCAAAGACTGAAGACTAAATCTTTCTAAAATAAATTAGAAGTGTTCTACAGGTCGTCTTGTTGTTCATTTAGAATGCATCTTGTTAGGTCACTCATTTTTGTTCCCAGACCCTTTTCTGGTCTGTAGTAGCCAGTAGAAATCTATGGCTCTGAACTTGGCAAGAGTATATAGATGTCCAGGTTCATCTAGCACTAGACTGTCTTTGGTAGCCAAAAATTATTTGGGGAGGTCTGCAAACAGTTTCCAAGGAATCTTGGACCTTCGTAATTCCTCAGTGGCAGTGCATGGGCAGCAAAAAAAAAAAAAAAAGGAATGCTTTCTAAGTAAAGTGGGTCAGTCTGCTGCCAGAAGCAAGATTGCCAAGAAGGTCCAAAGGGCTACCAGGCTGAAGCACTCAGACCAAACCCAGGACTCATAAGGGTGGTGAGGTCATACTGTGAGTGATTGTATTCAGGAGACTGTTTTTCCTAGCCCTGTAACTCTCTTTTGTTTAGTTAAGAGTAAGGCTACATTTATGTCACGGAATCTGACTTCCACAGACCTCTGTGACATTTTCTGCTTCAGCCCCTGGCAGCCAGTGGGCCCCAACAGGGTTCCAGCGACGGCCTCCTCAGGGGGCCCCCTGCAGGGTTCCAGCAACAGCCAACAGCCTCCTGAGGGGCCCTCCTCAGGGTTCCAGTGATGGGTGATGGCCTCATGGGGAAACCGGGGGCGTGTTGGGCGAGCGGCTGGGGTGTCCTGTTTTCTCTTTGGGAAAGATGGTCACCCTGCAGCTTCCAGCCACCATGGGCGAAGGGGGGGGGGCCCCCTGCAGCTTCCAGCCACCATGGTGGCAGCGGAAACCATGGAGCCACAGCAGCAAATGTCACAGACAGGTCACGGCTTCCATGAATTTTTGTTTATTGGACATGACTTGTCCATGACTTTTACTAAGAATAACCATGACAAAAGCTTAGCCTTAGTTAAGAGTAAGGTATGTGTGGATAAGAAATTCCTTAAAGTCTGTATCCTTTGCTTTACCACCGGATTGTCCCAGAAGGGTTTAATTAGAAAACCAGAGCTACTGGATCCAGGTGGGAGGAGGGGGTATAGGGTAGTGAGCAGTGGTGGAGCCTTGGGGGGAAGAAGCTGGCTGGGGGCGGGGCCTTGGGGTGGAGTGCGGGCGGGACCTTGGGGGGGGGGAAGAGGCCAAGTGGTGGCTGGGTCTCGGGACAGAGTGAGGGCGGAGCGGAGGGCAGGGCCACAGTCTTGGAGGCGGGCCCTTTCTGAGTGTGGGCCCAGTGCCATTGTAAACGTGGTACTGGACACAGATGTGATTGTTCCACTGCCTGCTTCCAAGGGGGACCTGAGTACAGATTGGGTGTTTGCACACACATTAGCCAATTGTGCATTGAACTGGCCATTTGCACATGCTCTTGGTATTAATGGATGGAATGTTAAAAGTGAGCTAAAGAAGTGAGGTGCCCTAATCTCATTTGAAAGTCAATGAAAATTGGGTACCTAATACCCTTCATGCCTTTGAAAATCACAGTCTCAATTTGTATGCTCAATTGCACGTGCAGCTGCAGTCCCACAACTTTGAAAATCAGGTTCTTAGTGTGAACACAAAAGTACATGTACAATGCTGATATAGATTTTCAAGTTTAACATAATTTTTATTTGTTACCAGGAACTACCATGTATTTTATTACCTTCTGGCAGGAGCAAGTGAGGAAGAAAGATCAGCATTCCATCTTAAACAACCCGAGGAGTATCATTATCTCAATCAGGTGGGAATAAACAGGCAGCTTTGGGGATGTGACAGCATTTTATAAAAGGGGTTGTAGAATGTATTTATCTCTAGAATGATGGACTATTCTTTCCTGATGACATACTTCTTCTCTATTGATTTTACTTAATACTAATAAAGAAAATAAGCCGAGTGGTGAAATTTATTGTCCTTGGCCTTTGCATTCAGGGTTTCATGATTAGAAATTCATCAGTGTTGGCACTTCAGCTATTTGAGAAGGGCAATGATTTTGATGCTATCCGTCATCCTTAAGTGGAGTACAGAAGAATAAAAATATAAGCTATTTACTGAATATAATCTCCTCAGGGAAGTTATTATCATTTACCTTCCATCTGTATGAATGTTGTTGTTAATTAATATCTGTCTTCTACCTAAGTCTGTTCAGGTAGAGATGTGTCCGCTTGTTAGCAGTGGGCCTGTAGGATATAACAGCTTGCATGATGATGATATAATTCTGTAGCTTTATGGATTGGCTGCCTGATAGCATGATTTTTGTACTTTAACAATGTAACAAGCCTAATATAAACAAAATGTAGAAACCATCAACCACAAACAAGTGAGAGATTTCGGTGGGACTATTCAGTTAGCATCGCAGAAAATTTATGAAGCTTCGTTGTAGAAATGTTGTGCCCACCGCAACATTTATGTGAGCGGGTCTTTGTTCAGCCAGCTGGCCTCCTTTACAGCAGGTGGGGAGAAGGGGGAAAGTTTACAGGGATGAGCAGGAAGCAGTTGGAGCTAGGTCAGGACAAGGTCAATGCATAGCCCTGTAGAGGTTCTTTTTACCGGGTTTGGGCAGGGTTCTCCTCTGCCATTAATGTACGTTAAGAGGAAAAAGGTATTAGGTCCTGTAAATGTTAAAGGGATTTGGACAGTCACATGTGGAACCCTTTGTGACGGGTTGGACCCCTTGGGAAGCCACCTGATGTGCTGAGATACCACTGCGTCTACCTGTTCTGCCAGCATGGGCCCCCTTTAATCTGTCTTGCTGAGCCAGGCTCTTAAAACTTCCTCTAAAACACACACACACACACACACGACTCAGCGTAAGGGACTTGCTCCAGCATTCAGATGTCCACCTCTCTTGGAGTGCAGACCCAAAGATATATTATCAAATTCGCCCTCTCCCTCAATGTGGAGAGAGCTGTGCTTCTTGCCCCCCCCCCAGTTAAAAATTACAGAAACTGGGTTTAATAATGAACAAAGTAAATTTTATTAACTATAAAAGGCAGATCTTAAGTGGTAAAAGGGGTTACAAACAGAACAAAACAGATTACTAAGTAAATGAAATCAAACATGCAAACTAAGCTAGTTTCACTAAAGAAATTGGTTACAAATAGTATTTCTCACCCTAGATATTGTTGCAGGCAGTTTGCAAAGTTGCTGTGGTTCAAAGTTCCAGTTATATTCCTTTTCAGACTGGACACCTGTCTCAGTCTGGACTCCCCCCTTGCCTTCCCTTTTGCAGTCTTTCTTCTTGGGCAGATAGGTCGTGGAGAAGAGGAGTCCTGTTTGCCTTCCTCCCCACCCTTAAATAGGATTTACATAAGGCGGGAATCCTTGGTTTCTCAAACTTGACCCCCCTTCCCTTACAGTGGAAAGTTACAAGAAGTCCCAGGTAATGTTTTATTATCAGGTGACAAGACCACCTGACTCTCTAGGATTATGGCGTCCATGAGTCAGTGGCAGTATGGAGCGTCCGCAGGAAGGCCAAACTTTTCACAATCCATTGTCCTTGCTGATGGACCATCTACCTTGTTTAGTTTTTCCATAGTTGGACCTGAAGTGTTAGCAGTGGACGTCACCCAAAGTAGCATAGTTGAAATACAGATACATAGTCAATATTCCTAACTTCAGATACAGAAATGATACAGGCACACAAATTGGATAATCACATTCAGTAAATTATAACCTTTCCAATGATATCTCACATGAGCCATCTTGCATAAAGTATATCTTTTATTTCATATTCATATCATAAGCATGTTTTCATAAAGAATATGGAATGACACATCACACCCTTGCTTGTCAGTGGTTAATTATCCTTTCATTTCATGAAGTTGAAATCACATGCAATATAAAACTAAAAAATAAAACGCACAATTATTTCAAATTTGGTGACAATATATACCTCCAGACCAGTGGCACTGCCATGGGCACCCGCATGGCCCCACAATATGCCAACATTTTTATGGCTGACCTGGAACAACGCTTCCTCAGCTCTCGTCCACTCACGCCCCTTCTCTACCTACGCTACATTGATGACATCTTCATCATCTGGACCTATGGGAAGGAGACTCTGGAAGAATTCCACCACGATTTCAACAGCTTCCACCCTACCATCAACCTCAGCCTGGACCAATCTACATGGGAGGTCCACTTCCTAGACACCACAGTACAAATAAGTGATGGTCACGTTAACACCACCCTATACCGAAAACCCACCGACCGCTACGCCTACCTTCATGCCTCCAGCTTCCACCCGGGACACACCACACGATCCATCGTCTACAGCCAAGTACTGAGGTACAACCATATCTGCTCCAACCCCTCAGACAGAGAGCAACACCTACAAGATCTTCACCAAGCATTCTCAAAACTACGATATCCGCACAAGGAAATAAGGAAACAAATCAACAGAGCCAGACGTGTACCCTGAAGCCTCCTGCTACAAGACAAGCCCAAGAAAGAAACCAACAGAACTCCACTGGCCATCACCTACAGTCCTCAGCTTAAACCTCTCCAACGCATCATCAGTGATCTACAATCCATCCTGGACAATGATCCCTCGCTTTCACAGGCCTTGGGAGGCAGGCCAGTCCTCGCCCACAGACAACCCGCCAACCTTAAGCATATTCTCACCAGCAACCACACACCGCACCATAACAACTCTAACTCAGGAACCAATCCATGCAACAAACCTCTATGCCAACTCTGCCCACATATCTACACCAGCAACACCATCACAGGACCTAACCAGATCAGCTACAACATCACCGGTTCATTCACCTGCACGTCCACCAATGTTATATATGCCATCATGTGCCAGCAATGCCCCTCTGCTATGTACATTGGCCAAACTGGACAGTCACTACATAAAAGGATAAATGGACACAAGTCAGATATCAAGAATGGCAATATACAAAAACCTGTAGGAGAACACTTCAACCTCCCTGGCCACACAATAGCAGATGTAAAGGTAGCCATCTTACAGCAAAAAAACTTCAGGACCAGACTCCAAAGAAAAACTGCTGAGCTTCAGTTCATTTGCAAATTTGACACCATCAGATCAGGATTAAACAAAGACTGTGAATGGCTAGCCAACTACAAAAGCAGTTTCTCCTCCCTTGGTGTTCACACCTCAGCTGCTAGCAGAGGACCTCAACCTCCCTGATTGAACTAACCTCATTATCTCCAGACTGATTCTTGCCTGCATATTTATACCTGCCTCTGGAAATTTCCATTACATGCGTCTGACGAAGTGGGTATTCACCCACGAAAGCTTATGCTCCAATACATGTTAGTCTTAAAGGTGCCACAGGACTCTCTGTTGCTTTTTACAGATCCAGACTAACACAGCTACCCCTCAGATACTAAAAAATAAAGAATCCCTAGTTACGTTATATGTGGATTTTTTAAATTAAATGCCTGTTTTACTTTGGAATGATAGATCTGAGAACAGTTTAGTATATATTTAAAAGAAAATTTTTTTTTCATTGTCTAGCAGTAAATAATTTGCTATTCTTAGATTACAAGTTAAAGCTTCAATTGTGTAAACACAGTTCATTGCAAATAACTTTTTAATCTTTCTTAAAATTGTGAAAGGTTGACACCTTAAGAGGGCTAAAGTCCTCAGAAAGTAAGAACTTTTAAAGTCCTTTAAAGCAGTATATTAAAGCCAGAATACAGTGTAGTAATAATGATTGCCACCCACATTTAATGACATTAAGAATTTCACACAAGCTAGTGACCTAATAGAGTTTAAGGCTTTTGCTCTTAAACACTGTGTAAGTATTGGAGAGGTTTGAGAACATACTGTGTTCTTTATGTAACATCTGTTGTGTAATTCTGAAGCATGGCAGGGGCAAGATAATTTTCAAATGAATTTTTTGTTTTGTTGTTTCATAATCTTAATTTTGTTTTAAAAACAGCTATTTTTATTACATTTCCTTTATTTTTTCAAGGTTGTAAAACCGAGGTCAACAGTATGTAAAAAACAACAACAAAGTAGTATATGTACTAGGTAAGGAGAGGGCTGACATGTTTTAGATTAAAACATTGGTTTTAGTCTAAATCATGGTCTGTTGAAGATGGTTGGAGGTGCATAGAATTTCTATGTGCTCCTCAGTGGATCTTCAAAGCAGATTCTGGATTTAGCTGAGGATCACGATGACAGTTTTAAGTTTTTGACATGATTACTGTATTGTATCTGGGCCTATTTGTTAGAGAAAGAGAGCTTTATCCACGTGGACCTACACAAATTGGCTTCTTTAGAAGTGTTAAGTGTGTCATTTCATGCCAGCACCTTCCATTAGTGCAGTAACAACATCCTTCCCATCGCCTACATCCAGTGGTGACAATGAAAGATAAGGAGGAAGAGGAAATGGAAACATGAAAAGGCAAAAATATTAAATCACCTTTGAACATTCTCATACTAATTAAATGGATTTGATTTGTTACAGGTGCCTTAGAAATACATAAAATAGAGAGAGATTAGAGAGGGATAAGAAGAGATAAAGGGGGGATGGTCAGTTACTGTTCACTGAAAAGATGAAAAAATTAGGGAACAAAGTAAAACTTTTTTCTTTCCATTTTCACTAAGCCTCTGATCTACGTTTAGGTGTACAAAACAAAATTGTATTTTATACTGAGAGTGAGAATTAAAGCATCTATTGTTTAAACCCCTCCAGTTTTTGTAAAAAGTATATGATATTTGAGCAAACCTTTAGTGTAAGAAAAGAGCTGAAATAATTTATTTTTAAAAAATATTTTTTAATAAAACAACCTTATTTGTAATTTCTGCTCAGGTCAGATTTGGCCGGTCAAATAGATTTACAGTTGAAATGCTAAAGGTCCAATCGTGCACGGTGCTAACTACTTCCTGAGCTGTGCTGGCTGGCCTCCACTCCTACTGCAGTCAACACCATGCAGGACTGGATCTGTAATTAGTTTAATTACTGCAGTATAAACACTTGTGCCATAACATTTTCCCCCTGGGGCTGCTTTCTGCTTTATTTTTTTTAGCCTTGAGAATCCTTATATTTTGTCCACCCTAACTATACCTTTTTTAACCCCATCTCTGTCTTTCTGGCTGAGAGAGACTAGATGGCACTTCCGTAGGAGCCCCTTGATGCTGTTCCTTGATTGGTCATATGAATCATTGTTTTCCAACATATGTAGCTCCCCAGAGAAGGGGTTAAGAGAGTAGAAACTAGACCTTGTTCTCCAGCATGGCTGTGCAGATCACTATCACTAGGTAAGCCCATGGCTCAACTATAATAGTCATAGATAAATCTGTCTTAGAAATATATTAGCCTTGTAACATGCGGAATTATCATTATACATGTTATAAAATAAGTAGAGATCAGAATATTGACAAATGTGGTAAATAATTCCTAAAACCTAAATTCTTCCTTACAGATTTTAAATTTCATAACTCCATGCAAAATTAATTCTGACTTTGCAAGTAATGTAATTGCATTGCTGCCCTGTCTCAAAGGCCTGGGGGAGAGAGTTATGTTTGACTTGAATGCTACTTAACCTGATCTGCCTTGCTTTCAGATGACAAAGAAACCCCTCAGACAGAGCTGGGATGATTATTACTATGACTCTGAGCCGGTCAGTACAAGTACATGTGCATTCTGTGTTGCTGGTGTAGGGTGCTTCTTTGCTTATTTGAATCTTTATTCTACACCAAGACACAGAGAAAACTTAGTTAATTTAAAATAGAAACACCAAAGCTATAGGTTTTCTTCTCAGTGCGGTTGCTTGGATATTTAGCCGGTGATGGTGCAAATCTTTTTTTTCCCATCCCTTTTTTGGTCATTTTCCTTTGCTAAGCCTTCTCTCTTAGTTTGGATTGAATGTGCCCATCTAATTGAACCAAGTATCAATTATCTAATGATGATGTTATCCTAAGGTATAGTGCATATATGTTGACAAAAAGGTGTACATTGCTATATTATGAAACCATTATTATACAATAATTACATTTCTGTCTTGTGAAAATAAAGTACTCCTTTCAGTGATATTTCAAAGTACAACAAACCGAGATTTTTAATTAATCAGGCATTGAAAGATTTGTTCTCCATGTTCCTTCAGAATGACTGCAGTAGTGAATTTCCTATCCGATTTGTTATATAAAAATACTGCACCACGTATGTGAGAAAATGGAGACACCAATATTATTTAGAATAAAAACAGTTCCTTGGTTAAAATAGTTTGGCTTGTAGTGTTATCTGAAAGAAGACAGCTTAACAGCAAGACATTTCCAAATACATATGACCAAAAAAGGAAATGTGAAGCTCTTTTTTTATAACCTCCACTCTCTTCCTCCCCCCCACCCCCCCGTGCAATTCAGTCAAGCTGCACTGGCCCAGATTAGAGATGTGCTTTTGGTTTGTGTGGCCTGCAGGTGATGTGTACGTGTTCTTTTTTTGGTCAGTTTTGTCTTGAACCTAAAAGCATGCTTGTAAATCTAATTGCATGTTATCATTGCTATCAATGTGCTTTATACTAACGGAGTTTGGTAATCTTAAGGAATAAAAGGTAATCTGTAAGGATATCCTTTTACTGTATGGGTAAATAGGCAAAAATAAAAGTAAGACTTTCATCAGTGAGAATATTTAATCTCAGACCCACAGAAGGGATAGGTTATAATTGTTTAAAGTTTAAAATACTGAATATTGAATAATTCAGTGCTGGGGGGGGGAATCTCTGTATAATATACTAACAGTTTCAAAGAACGAATTTGGATCATGTATTAAAAAAAAGCATAATAGGAGGTAGATAAGACAAATCCTCCTTACATCTGAGCTGGGCTAATCACGCTGTGCAGATTTGATTTGATTTTTTTAAACTAAAACCAGCTCAGGATGATGTAAGAAAAATAGAGTTGCTTTGCCCATTTCTGAGCAGCAAAGTCTGTAAATATTTTTTAGTTATTTGTTGAATCTGGTATTTTGAGAGGTTTGGCTATTTATTTGCTTGTACTACCAGGTTAGTAGACAATGAAATCAGCAATAATGCTTCGACTATGAAGTTCCTTTTTGTTTATTGTGTGGGGTGGTCCTGAAGGTTTGTTTTTTTCTTTGTGAATTTCTCAAAGATTAAAAAAAAAAATTGGTTTATGAACAGAGACACAACACAGAATCAGGGTGGATCAGGAAGACTCGATTTCATCATGGATTTCTACATAAAAGTGCATTCTTGTTGGTTGTTATAACCTTAGTACATATTCTTCACAACTCCGAGATAGATGTAGGTTTCATTTTTAGAAGGTACACACTATACATTTTTAAAGTGATTTATTTTGAAAACTTTTCAGATTCGTTTTATAGCTATATCAGAAAATGAATGCTTGTTTTGTTATTTCATTTACCAAAGGTAATTGAAGCAGATATTTATGAAGTCATTGGGAGGGAACTATCTCCAATTCAACAGGTTAATCATTAATATTTGGAGGATTTTCTTGCCATGCTGTATTAGGAGGAGAACATCACGAGACAGACATTTAAATTGTTTTACTTAACTAAAACAACAATGAAATGTATTCAGGATTTTTTTCTTCAACAGCAAACACATAATATTTTAACAAAACAAGCATATGAATTTTTGAATTTAGTTAAACATTCAAGTTTTTTAAAATCAGGTTTGTTTTTGTTAAAATTGTTTTTAACTAAAATAGTTAAATGAAATATTTTTTTAAAAACAAAAATTAAATCGACTGTGTTAGCCAGGTCAACATGAGAAACTTAGAATATTGGCTTCTGTAGCCAAATCAGTCATCTTCACCTTCAGTTTCCTGTTTGTTCATAATCTGGAAAAGAAAAACAAGCTTTCCTGCTTTTTCAGGTCCCAAACGATTTCTCAATTTGGAATGAATTAGTCCAAAGGAAGAAAATATTCTTTCTACATCGGCAGAAGGTTAAAAGTGCGATTATCACTTCAACAGTCTCTGAATCCAAGTGCTTAAGTGATTTCCACCAGTTCACTGGTGTGACTTTCTTTAAAACATCATCAGCAAACATACATTTCTTGAATGGCTCACCCTTAGCTCTGAAGTTTATTATAGTTGGCATTATGGAGGGATGATTGCTGGATGTCCATGTCATAGCCAACTTCTCTTTTTCAGCAGTTAAGGTTTGACCCTGGTACCGAATATTGAGAATATTTGCAAGAAAATGAGCTGGAGATAGTGCTTGTCCCATTCGTTTTTTAATGCTTGTAATTTAACTCTGTCATTGCATATTTCTCTTCTTAAGTTCTCACTCAGTTCTTTCCAAATTTCAACAGTGTCAGCAATAAAACAGCTATTTTTCTGCATTTTGTTCAAGGCTACAGAAATAGGCTTCAGGGTACTCTGCATGTGTTCAACATTTCTCTTAAGCCCAATGTTGAGAACTTTGGCTGTGACGGTACCATCTATTTTTTCACAATTTTGTTCACAAACTGTCATCAGCTTAGGCCAGTTCTTGATATAGTGCTCAAAACAGTCCACTACTGAGTTCCATCGCACGTCTTGTGGGAGAGTTAGCTTGGTTCCTGCCACTTTTTTTCAGAGCAGCTGCTGCAAAGTGGTTGTTACGGAAGTATTTTGCAATTTCAACAACATTAGCACACTGACTGTGCTGGGTGACTGCACGTGCTCCTAGGGGCCGGGCCCCTCTCAGGTCCAGGAAGCCCCCTCTCGCCTCCCCTGTGGTGGGTGCCAGAAGGGGGGATGGCTGCCATCACGTGTGCGCGCCTCCTCCCTCTGCAGGTGGCGGCTGCACCGCTGCCTCAGCCTGCCGCCGGTGCCGCTCCCTGGAGGCGAGGGAGTACAGTGCGGAGCGGCAGGGCAGCTTTCCGCTGCCCAGGGCGTAGGCAGGGACGCTCCAGGGGAGGCGCATGGGGGCAGCAGGTGGGGCCGGGGGACGCTCTGGGGAAGGTGCGAGGGGTGGCAGGTGGGGGAGAGACTCAGCCCTGAACATTGGTGGAGCCGGGCCCCCATGCCCTGAATTTGCTGGAGCATGGGCACCACGGCCCCATGTAACTCGCCGCCCCAATGATATTTTCATCTCTGAACAAGCATATCTTTCAACTTTGAGAGTGGAGATGCTTGAATTGCTTCAATTTAGTGTTAGTAAGCAGGGTTCTTGCTTTTGTATGATAAGACTGAAAAGGCTGGGAGACAACTCATTGCTTAAGCAGAATGCTGATGACCAGTTTGATTAGTCTGCAAATGTTGGCTCTTTTCACAGTTGTTTGCCATTACAGCATGAATGTTCTAAATTTATGACTGTCCATTTTGATAAAAGAAAATAAAGTATAGGGACTTACTGCTGATGAAATAGTGTGCAGAGCATCTGCTTTGACATAAATGATTTACAAGAAGCCTTTCCATATGGGTTAATGAGCTTGGCAATTGTTATGTAAATTGTTAACCACATTGCCTTTGGCTTTGAACCTATTGCTTCTGAGTCAGCTGTAGTAGTTTCACTATTAACTTGTGATCTAATTTCAAATGGGTGAAATCTGGTAAGGGAGCGGTCACAGGAACGTAGGCAGTGTTTCTTCATTTTTATTTTTAAATGAGATTTTTAGTGTCCTTGATAGATTCCACACCTGGATACTAAATGCATGTAAAATGCTTTTATTTGTCTGTGCTGTCCAAGTTCAGCAAGGGCCGGAGTACTAACACTGTGTGTCAACCATAACTTGGAAAGGGGAGTTTAGTTTTATTTGCCCTTTCCTCCCTTGAAACCTTTCTGCATCTGCCAACAAGGAAGCCAGTTTTGATAGTATTTTTTCTGATGTAGACACTTGTTTTTTAAGAGCTGGATTGAGATTAACTATTTATTTCATACTGCTCGCCAATTAGCTATCAGTTAGTAATGACTTTTGGTCACTAAAATCTGGGCCAAAGTGGAACCACTGATCTACACATGAAAGGCTTTGTTTCTTGTCATCAGTTTATGGAATAAAATTTATTTGTCTCATTGCTGTATTACATGGTTTATCTATTTTGAACTATAGCTGTCCCATTGAATACATATGATGTATAAATTTATTCAGAGTTTAAAAGTAGTTTATGGGGCTATGTCCAGTTAAAGCGGGCACATTTCTACAGCATTATCAATTCAATTTAGCACAACTGATGAAAATGCCCCCTTTTTAATAAGTCTTGTTTTAACAGAATGCAAACGTATTCATTTCTAATTTAAATCGAGACTCTGCCTACATTGGTATTACAGCTGATTTTAAAAACCAGGTATAAATCCACTTACAGTTAAACAGTTTTTAGTTGGGGGAATTGGATACTGCCAGTGAATATTGTCTAATATTCCTGTATGTTTGTATGGTTTATTGATGCTAATATTTGAAATTAAAGTGTTTTATTTTAGGATCAACAAGTGGACATTACTCTAAAGCAATAACCATATTAAGGAAAGGGTGGGAAAATCTTCCCCCTTAAAGGAGAAGATTTGTATCAATGAGTTAGCTGTGAAGATTTATCCACCTATACATGCTGTGGGATGCAGAATGGAGAGACAGCTTTGTGCTATTTATTGAAAGTGAGAGCGAGTGTACATGAGAGTCCAGGCAATAGTCAGTATTCTGTGATTGTTTAGTGCCTCTGTAGCATGCAAGTAGCCCTGTATGGTGTGGATTTTCAAAACTGTTCATACACATGTGAGCACACTTAAATACAGTTATCATAATTTCCATGCAAATGACCAGAGTGGATCATATAATATGTACACTCAATTACCTGATATGTGATTGTAGGTACAGTTTTGAAAACGGGCTGATATTTTATTTATATGTGTAACAATATTTTCTTTCTGTACAATTATCAATAAAATAGTCTGTGGTTTAACACAGCATGACTTGGATTTGGAGACTGACACTTTGGGCTGTAGCTGGATGGCTCACGTAGGAAGACATAAAATAATCTGGCCTATCAAGGGAGGAAACCCATGGTGGGCATGGGGTGAACCAAATCACATGGAAGGTACTGGGCTTGTTAGTTTATAAACCACTTTACGGGAGTTTAGTTGTAAGGCATATAGTTTTAACTAAGGTTCTTAAACATAGCTGTGAAGCCAATATAGATAGGCCTCAGTATATCTGAATTGTGAAAACTCTGGAACTCTTTGTCACCATTAACTATTAGTTTTGTAATATTAGTGGGTTATAGAAAACATAAGAGTTCAGTATCTAAATCATTTGAAAGTATCCATGTACCCTCAAAATGTAAAGTTCGGTAGATTTCAAATTTCCTCTGAGTTAGCATTTTCAGAACATTAGTTAATGTTTAGAATAAAAAAACCTGTTAAATATAACAGCCTCCAATCTGCAGCATTCCAAAATTCATGATTTTAACCCCAGACAATTAATCTGTTTATGTATGTTGCAGTTAATTTTATTTTTAAAAACAATGTAAAAGAATCCATTTTTAATTTAAAAAATGGAATTCTTTTCATTTGTTAGGAGTGTCTGTGAGTTAGAATCCTGGGGCTCATTTATTCTAAAGATTAATACTTAGAGCAGACTTGATCTCCTTGGAAAGTTTTATATGCACATACTTCTTCCAGCAAGTTTTTTTTAACAGTACTCAAAAGCCCCATGTTAGCTCTCCTCATTCTTTGACTGAGTCCCCATCCCTCACCCACAATAGGTATAGTTCACAATTCATATTGTGCATGCTCTTTTCATTCTGCATTGGACTTTCAGAATGGTGCCAGAGAGGGAGAGTGTGAATATGATGTCAAAGGTGTGTATTGCTGGTGACTAATTGAGCTGTTCCTTATTAATGTTAAGGGGTCCGTGTCCGACACTCCTCAGGCAGGAAGGGCATGGAAAGCACTGATTAAGATTTGTGTAATGCTGAATTGACCAGCTAGATACATTCTGGTCTTCATTTCTTTTAACACTCAATCTTTGTGTTTGAACCAAACAGGATTGTTTCTCTGTTGAAGGGGAAGACCTGAAGCATGATTTTGAGCGCTTACAACTGGCCATGGAGATGGTGGGATTTCTTCCCAAGACTCGCAGACAGTGAGTTCATCTTCCACATTAATATCTGGCATAATGAGCAAGACAGTGCTGAATGCACTTGAGTGTGACTCTGTTGTGCGCTATATAATTTATCAGACTGCTGATATGACAGAGTGTAATGACACTTGACAATTTATATATTAAACCTTTAAAGAACATTTAAAGGTATAAACAAGATATACTTCCTGTCAGTTGAGGTATTTTTGAATTGTTCATGAATATTAATACCTCATTCTGCATGACTTTAATTCAAATGATGATTCAGTCAGATATCCTGTCTGTAACCTTTTATTTATTACTTATTTTTAACCCTTGGATCCATTTTGCATGCAATTGCTGATACCAAATATTCTAGAAGCCTTAAAAACACCTTTGTGTGTAACATCTGGATCCACTCATTCAGTGGTATGGCTAGTTGAGAAATAGGGTTGATCAATCTTAATGTAATACAGAATGAGAATAGCAGTGTCACTCTGAGACTAATAATAACAGCCTTCATGATGCTGCCAGGCAATTGGGGGGGGAGGGGGAGATGGCGGGAATACAACAAAAAAGAAAAGTAACCACACAACACAAGTGTTTGGATTGAGATTTTGTTTTAGTTCAGCAAAAATTGCAAAATAATTATTTATCAATACAGTACTTTCAAGTTCTATCAAGCTACATTATCACTGAAAGTTCTTAAGTCTTCAGTAGGTTATGAATAAATTATTAGATGGAGTCATGAATATCTTTTTCCATAAATCATTACTTCTGTAATGTGTTGGTCTAACAGAAATGTTTGTATTTATATTAAATAGAAAAAAATGACATCAGGATAGCAATACTGTTTTCAACAACAAAAACATCAGATTCACAAATCAATAACTTGAATACCACTAAGGCTATGTCTACATTACACAGCTTTTAGCAACATAATGGCATATTGGGCTGCATTAGTAGGAGCATTGCCAGCAGATGGAGGGAAGTAATTATTCCTCTCTATTCGGCACTGGTGAGGCCACACCTTGAGTATTGCGTCTAGTTTTGGACCCCCGCTACAGAAAGGATGTGGACAAATTGGAGAGTGTCCAGCGGAGGGCAACGGAAATGATTATGGGGCTGGGGCACATGACTTACAAGGGGAGAGTGAGGGAACTGGGCTTATTTAGTCTGCAGAAGAGGAGAGTGAGGGGGGATTTGATAGCAGCCTTCAATTACCTGATGCGGGGTTACAAAGAGGATGGAACCTGGCTGTTTTCAGTGGTGGCAGATGACAGAACAAGGAGCAGTGGTTTCAAGTTGCAGTGGGAGAGGTCTAGTTTGGATATTAGGAAAAACTATTTCATTAGGAGGGTAGTGAAGCACTGGAATGGGTTACCTTGGGAGGTGGTGGAATCTCCATCCTCAGGGGTTTTTAAGGCCTGGCTTGACAAAGCCCTGACTGGGATGATTTAGTTGGTGTTGGTCCTGCTTTGAGCAGGGGGTTGGACTAGATGATCTCCTGAGGTCCCTTCCAACCCTGATATTCTATGACACGGCTGTGTCGCTACAGCTGTGCCACTATAAGTCGGGCAACGTAGCCGCTGTTTGTCGGCTCTCCTGCCAACAAAAAACTTCCACCCCCCAACGAGCGGCGTTTGCATTGTCGGCAGGAGAGCGCTGTGGCCGACAACGCACTGTTAACACTGGCACTTCTTGTTTCTGTTTTTCAGGGGTTTTTTTTTTTTTCCCCCAACACCTCTGAAAGACAAAAGTTTTGTCGTTCAATTGCCAGTGTAGACATAGCCTAAGTCCCTACATATATTTATTTTTTTTAAAAGAGTAAAAATGTGTTTAAATGGTTTTGATCCAAACCATTGGATTCATTTTCTCAGTGAAGCAAAATTTTCAGAAGTATGCACCAATACTGAGAGTGTCAGTATTTGAGTGTTCAGTGAAAAATGGGCCTTAGATGACTCTAGTTGGATGCTAATTTTGAGGGTCTCAATTTTCCAGTGGACAGTTTTGAAACTGTAGGGCATAGCCTATCTGTGCCTCAGTTTTCCTCATTTGCAAAATGGGAATTATAATACTTAATAAATGCAAAGTATTCATATTAAGTATTGCAGCAAATAGGATTCATAACATTGCACTGTTTTCAGGCAGCTTTCTAATCAGAATACATTTTAAGGGGTGATAGATGATTTGTGGCAGTTTTTCTTTTGGTTCTTACTGTAGTGGGATTCTAATAACAAATGTCATTCCAGGGTTGTTGACACTGATGTTTGCTCCAAGATTCTGAGAGTGATTTTTTTCTTTTGGTATTATGAAAAAAAAATCTTTCTTTTTTCTTTTTGTTTCTTTAGGATTTTCTCTCTCTTATCTGCAATACTACACTTGGGTAACATCTGTTACAAAAAGAAAACATACCGGGATGATTCTATAGATATTTGTAACCCTGAAGTACTACCTATTGTCTCAGAATTGCTGGAGGTGAGCATTAATTTTTCTTTATACTATCTACAGTTCATCTCCTTTTCTCCTTTTTTGGTGTATCTTTCTTTTAGAAGACAATTCATTTCATATATTGTAAGGGAAAATGTCATATTGAGCTAAAACTTAATACGGGCAATTCTAGTTTTCACTTACTGAATGGCTGTAGCAATTGGCTGTTGGTGACGTGTTTCCCTTTTCTTCCTATCCTTATTTTGAGTATTAAGGCATCTGCATATTATTTATTCCTGTTTGGTCTATATCACTGCCTGTGACTTTAGACGTTCTGACAAGATATTAAAAGTACTACCCATATCAATGAAATTAAAATGATTGCATAGCAGCAGCAGGAGAGAAAGAGCCTTTGTGCAGCAGAATGTATCTCAAATCCCCAACTTTTAGTTCCGTCACTAACAATTCCACCCATCTCAGCCCTACCTATGTACCCATCCAAATGGATGGGCTTTGCAGAGGGTCCTGAGAGGCAAGAGATTTGGGCACTTTGAGACCAAGGGTGAGTAAATTCCAGAGTTGAGGTACCCTCACAGAAAACGCTGCCCTCTGTGTATTGCAGCTGTGGCAGTATCACATGAGGAAGGAGTCAGATAGGCTGGTCCCTAGCTATATATGATTTTTTTCAGGTCAAAACCAACATTTTAAGCCCATCTAAAAGCCATCAGGCAGCCAGAGCAGATTATGAAGCGTTGGTGTTATTTGCTCATAGTGAAATATTTAACAAATGGACCACCGCATTCTTTACTTACCTTCTGTATTCAAGAGCAAAAGTCACCATGTCCTGGCCCAAATGCAGATGACAAAAAGCTGTCCTGGTCATTTTTGCTATTTGCTTATCTAAAAGCAGCTGGAATTCAACAAATCCCCCAAATTGCACACTTGAGTAATAGATGGGAAACACTCACTCTAAATCAATTCATAATCTTTGTTTCCCCCCCTCTGGTTGGTCCCACAAACTACCATTATCACCCTAACCTTATCTTGATTGAACCTCAGTCAACTGATTCCCATCCTTATCTGAGTCTCACCCAAACATTGAGAAAGACACTCTGTGATGCTTCCTGGATTGGTTGAGATAGAAAGTTAGGTGTCATCAGCATATTGAAGGCACTTCAACCCATATCTCTGCACTGATCTAGCCTAACAGCATCATGTGTGTGTTGACCAGAAGTGGTGACAGAATAGCCATTAGAGCAGACAGCTGTCCAGCACTACCTGAGAGCTCTCTCCAAGTGAAATTTCCTCAGTTAGCAGTCCTGTCCACCCCCACTAGAATGTGCAGGTGATTCACCATGTTGTGATCAAAAGCATCCGGTAGATCCAATAATATCAGCTTGGGACATGTAGGGGAAAATTTTCAAAGGCACAAAGGGGTCTTACATGCTCAACTCTCATTGAAAGTCAGTGGGAGTTGGGCATTTAACTCCCTTTTGTGCCTTTCAGAATTTCCCTCTTGATCTGTATGCATCACAGAGAGGAGATAATCATCAAATGGAACAAGAATAGCATATATGCCTACCATAGCCAAGTGAGAATCCATATTCACAAGGGTCAGGGAACCTGCGGCATCAAGATATTGTAAGAGTTGTCTTGCCACAAACTTTTGCATAATCTCAACCAAAAATGAGAGATTAAATATGGGTCAAGATTATTTAAAAAAACAAAAAACAAAAAAACAAAAAAAACCACTCAGTGCTCCCTATTCCAATTTAGCATGACGTTCAAGCAGCCACAAAATATTGCATTATTTCTTCCATATTGAAGTCCACAAAGACCCTGCCACCCCTGATTATCTTGCCAGAATAAGGCAAAAAGACCAATTCACCACTCTGCTTAGATGAACTGGAAATTTCACCATACCCCCCATATTTATACTCCCAGTGTAAATCACAGACCCCATCTTCCAGATACTGATCACATATTCAGCTTTACCTGAACCACACCACACAGGTAAGTGCTAAACCTCACGGTATCCCATTTATCAGACTATGCTAGTACGTTGCTTATTTGTCATGGAGGAGAAAATGAAGTTGACGTGTATAGAATGTGCTGCATCTTGTCGGTCAATAATGATTTCACAAACTTCTGACATAGTTATGAATAAATGGTGGACTAGTAAAGGGGATGGAGTTAAAGTAGTTCTTTTCATGTGTAATGTGATATTTTACATAAGAGATTTATGAACTTTCAGAGGATTTGAATCTTTATATACATTACCTTTCCGTATCACTGGCATACTTTTAAATATCTTAATGTGACGTTAATGATTTTACCTTTTAAAACATTTGTTACTTAATATAGCAACCTAAACTCTAAGTTTACAAAGGATTTTTTCTAGGATTTTTTTTTTAATGGAAACAAAATGTATATTAAAAGTATAAATTAGGCAGGAATTACACCATTTGTATGGCCCCCTGCAAATGTTAGACAGAAGTACATGAAGTGTAGGACTGGAAAGGACTTCAATAGGTCATCTAGTTCAGTCTCTTGCATTCAAGCCAGGACTACCTAATAACTAGACCATTCCTGACAGGTGTTTGCCTAACGTGTTCTTAAACACCTCCATTGATGGAGATTCCACAACCTCCCTAGGCTATTTGTTCGAGTGTTTAACTAGTCTGACAATTAGGAAGTTTTTCCTAATGTCCAACCTAAACCTCCCTTGCTGCAATTTATTGCTTCTTGTCCTATCCTCAGATGTTAAGAGCAATTTTTCTCTCTCCTCCTTGTAAACAACCTTTTATGTACTTGAAAACTGTTATCATGTCCCCCCTCAGTCTTCACTTCTACAAACGAAACAAACCCGATTTTTTCAATCTTTCTTCAGAGGTTATGTTTTCAAGACCTTTAATCATTTTTGTTGCTCTACTCTGGACTTTCTCCAATTTGTCCACATCTTTCCTGAAATGTGGCACCCAGAACTGGACACAATACTCTAGTTGAGGCCTTACCAGCATGGAGTAGAATGGAAGAATTACTTCTTGTGTCTTGCTTACAACGCTCCTACTAACACATCCCAGAATGATGTTAGTTTTTTTGCAACAGTGTTACACTGTTGACGCATATTTAGTTTATGATCCATTATAATCCCCAGATCCTGTTCCATAGTAGTCCTTCCTAGGCAGTCATTTCCCATTTTGAATTTGTTCAATTGATTATTTCTTCTTAAGTGGAGTACTTTTTATTTGTCCTTATTGAATTTTATCCTGTTTACTTCAGATCATTTCTCCAGTTTATCCAAATCATTTTGAATTTTAATCCCATCCTCCAAAGCACTTGCAACCTCTCCCAGCTTGGTATTGCCTGCAAACTTGATAACTGAATTCTCTATGCCATTGTCTAAATCATTTATGAAGATATTGAACAGAACTAGACCCAGGACTTGTGGGACCCCATTCGATATGCCCTTACTTACTCCAATATCATATTAAGATTTTTCAGGTTTTTACATTTTAAAACTTTGCAGACTAATTGTAACTGGTTATAATGTAGAATGAGTTCATGAAATTGCTTTAAATGTAAGGAGGAGATTCTCCCTCCAGCCTCAGAGTAATCACACAAAATTTGAATCAGTCTTTTTCCTGATCTAAGAGAATGGAGGAAATTGGCCTAGTAATGGAAGCCTGATTACAACCTCAACTATGGAGATTCTCTCTCTCTCTCTGTTTAATCTTATTCTGTTGAAAGGAATGCCTGCCTCCCCTTGCCTCTCAAAAAAAGCCTCACAGCACATTCTCATTGGTAGAATTGACATAACTGGTACTTTCATTCATATTATTATTAATATATAAATCAGTACCAAGAATAGTTTCTCTTTGAGAAAACACTCCTGTTTTTTGTCCTGGCAAAAGCAGATGATATGAATTGTAACCGTAAAATTATATAGTTATTCTAAAATTGACAATCACGTGGTGTGAAGAGGTGCTGTCAATCTGTTAATTTCCCTAAATATATCATCTTTAACGAAGATAAGTCTCATGCAGTTCCTGCACTACATCATCCATTGCGGTGGTGGGAAAAAATAAATAAACCCTCTCCCTTTTTTTTTTTTTTTTTTTTTTTTAACACCCTCCTTCTTCCGCTGTGCTGTGCATCAAATCCCATTGCTAACACCAGTTGTGACAAAGTTCCTCCTCTGCTTTGGTGGGTCCTGCGCTTTCCGGCGGATTTGCTTGCCTCCTTGAAGATTGTCTTTATATATACGTGCATTAAGAGAATTTTTGAGGAAAATTGGGTTGCCTACATGTTGAATGGGATGTGCCTTTCTTTAATGACTGTACCTTTGGGGCCCTAAAGAGGTTCGCAGTGCCCCAAATGAAAAATAGCAAAGAATATATAATGAAGAGACATTGTATTGTTTGAAGAAGCCAACATAAGAGATGGAACTAGAAATGTAATGTCATGTCCAAATGAATATTTTTTTGAATGGTTCTGTATGGAAAGCTTTCCACAAGATTGTGGGAGAAATGTATTATACTGTAGTAGCCATATAGCAGTGCTACAGGTATTGTTACGAGAACATCTCCATTAGAAACCCCTACTTTCAGGGGATTCTAACTTCTGTTAGGTCATTTCTGAGAGATGAGAATATAGGGGAAAAGTTGTTTTTCAGTAGTCTTCTAATTACTTTTTAAGAATTTGCCATGGACTGGTTTATCTTAATTTTACTTCTCTAGAGTATCTGTCCAATGGCCAAGAATTCCTCCCACTGAATTTCCTCTACTTTATTTGAATATGTAACCCTCTTTGTACTCTGTGGGAAGGTGAAATTTGAGAGATGGCCAGTGGGGAAGTAGGGGTAGAGGTAGGAGAGAGGCTGCTAGACCCCTTCTAATGCTATCTTGAAGGTGAAGAAGGATTAAGACTTTTTTCCAAATTTTGAGGTAGCATTGGGAGACATCCTGTTGTATTTGTGTCTTTTGAGATGTCCCCCTCTCTTTTCTTTCCCAGGCTACAAATGTAATATTGTCTAGGGTATATTGTAT